TAAGTCTAGATTGACATAAAAGCATTAAAATAATAATTTCTATATCACCATCCGTTCGGCTTATTTTCACCTACGCAACATCAACCGCCTCCGCCCCTCCCTTACTCCCCATTCCACTGCCATCCTTGTTCACTGTCTGGTTACATCGCGCCTGGACTATTGCAACTCCCTTCTGTTCGGTCTCACCCACAAATCTCTTCATAAGCTCCAACTGGTCCAGAACTCAGCTGCCCGCATCATCACCAAAACCCCATCCATTCATCACATCACTCCAGTCCTGCAAAAACTCCACTGGCTGCCAACCAAGTTCCGCATAGATTACAAAATTCTCCTGTTCACTTTCAAGGCCCTCTACAATCTCTCCCCACCATATCTTTCAAATCTTATTCATATTGCCATTCCCTCTCGCTCCCTCAGATCATCCTCCTCCATCCTTTTGACTGTCCCCTCCGCCCGTCTCACCACCATGGGGAGCAGAGCCTTCAGTCGCTCTGCTCCCCGACTTTGGAACTCGTTACCACCTCACATTAGAAACATAAAGTCAATCTCACAATACAAATCAGAACTCAAAAACACACCTTTTTAGATCTGCTTTTTCCACCTGACACAATTGGTTTTGCCTGATTTTATATTGATTTTATATTGATTTTATACATTGTCTTTTTTCTTCCTTTCTTTTTCTTTTCTTTTCATCTCTTAGTTTCTGTTACTGCTGATTTTATTCTTTGCACGGTGTCCTTGAGTGCCAGAAAGGCACCTTTGAAATAAAATGTATTATTATTATTATGTATAGAGTAAACTTTGTATATTGTGCAATACACTTATTAAATTACATGTTTCTTGAGATTTTTTGCCTCCTTAATTGTAAAGGTTGCGGAAAACCAAACATTTTGGCGGACAACGAACTCGTTTCATCCTGGAAAATGTCCTTATGTCTACCCCTGCATGTGCGTACTGATATGTCCTACTAAAACCAACGTCTCTCAGCAGATCTGGCTTTTGCAAGAATGTATAAATTTCAACTTAAATGGGAAGAAAATGAGTTTCAGCGGACTGAATCATTGGTATTCCCCTTTATGTCTAATACAGCAAGTTAGTCATTTTCCCTCCCCACATCTATCTTTGTGAATCCAGACATGCGCACTTTCAGATATACACATATTTTACAGCACATGACTTTCTAGAGTCACCTGACACAGCTAAGTGGAAATGAGTGCAGTAGTCTTATGACAGAGAGGAGGAACTATGCAGGAAAGACATTCATGAAGTCAAAACTGTCACTGGCACGCTGGGCGATTCTCTCATCTCTTAAACGTAAAGGACGGAGCAGAGTCAAAAATCAAACCTTAGCCACACACCTTTTTTAACAACCTGATGCCAAAAACAATGCATTCCAATTTGATCAGCTGGACAAGATAGTAAAATGTTTTGTTCACTTTAAATCATGAATACAACATTCACTAATGACTTAAATTTGTCTGCTTTCTTTAGATGATGATGGTTCCTGCTTGGAAAACAATTACATCTATATATTTTTTTTTACCTTAACAAAACGTTTTGACCTTCAGCAAACCTTTCAATTTAGTTTTTATTAATCCGTAACCTAAATAATATATGTCGAAAATGTTTACATTTTCTTAGTTAATGTCTTTAAATTAAACTTTTGTCTCTTTGAAAATTCACAGCATGTTATGTTGGAACTAAATAAATCCATAAGTGTTTGGCATTTTATTTAAATGATTAAAAACATGTACCTGCATATTAGTCATGAATAATTTTACAAAGTTTTACAAAACTAATTGTGTTAACATGAATAAACATTAAACATAACATTTTTTTTTTACAGAATACAAAGAAAAAACAGATTTGCAAATATGAACAGGAATCGGACATTGATAATTTTACATAAAAAAGGTACAAAAAAGTATGTTTAGTCTTGACACCGCACGGTTTTAAAATACAAAAAAATTGACTTGTATTCATTTTTGTACAGACAGCTGTAACTCTCAGTTTTGAGGTTATCTTTACTGTCGCATCAAAACTAAAAAGGATGTTTGGTGAAATGTTCAGTATCCTAAACACTTTCACTCCAAGCTAAAAGTCCACACAAATGAAATAATTCAATCAGAGCAAAAAAAATCTGACAAAGCTGCCCAGAGTCACCACCACAAACACTGAAAAAGACTTTTAGTATTATGAAAAACTCAAGTGTTACACAGCTGTGATTAAACAATATGAATTGCTCCATTGGAAGGACCAGTATTTGAGACGCCCTGCAATAGTTGCACAAGAAACAAATGTGCTTGCTCAAACAAGTGACATAATCTCACACAGGAAGGAGTACTATATTTGCACATTTATCACACTTTGCATCTAAATTTGTTTCAGTGATTTCACTGAAATTATTTTCACACTTAACAGAGCAGAACACAGAAAACAGCCAATCGCTTTTGTTTAGTTTGCAGAAGGAATGGATGTGGAAGTACTGCTGCAAACAGGAGTCAAGTCCAAGTTTTTAAAATAAACTGAATGAGACAGAACCAAACTGTGAAACGCCACTGACTGACAAAAGTCTCAAAAGATCACTGCACGTTTTCATCTCTTTATTTTAGAAGTCTTCATCACGAATCTGCAAAAAAACCTGCACACACATACAAAAACTCCTGAACCACACGCGCGCACACTTTCAAGCGTCCATATGCCTCGGTGTGCGATCCGTCCTGTTTGTCTGCACTCCGTGTAGTTCTTGCAATGCTCAACATTTACTGAACTGAACCGCTTGAATTTCCCACACACTGACGGTGTAAAACCCACGAATCACTACGTTACTTTGGGGTTTACCGTGAACAATCACGACAGAGTCGGTGACAAACAAAGTGGCAACTTGTTAGCTGAGCTGACGTGTTGACAAAACACCCACAGCGTGACTTGAACCGCAGGTGTTTTACAGCTGCAGCAACCAGCACAGTCATATATCAACCACTGTGACAAAAAACTGCACTTATAAGCTACCTACACAGATTGGAGACTTTCGGCACCGTTATCGCTAAGGCTGTTAGCATTAGGCTAGCAAAGTGGCTAGTAGCGGCTGAGGACTTACAGCGATCACGTTTACAAATGTTGTTTTTCCGGAGTACTGCAGGCCGACTAACGTCAGCTCCATCTCCTCCTTCCAAAACAGTGACTTGAACCAGTCCAAAAGCCGATTTATTAGTGCCAGCATCTTGACGTTTGGCAGCGACGCTCCACTACGGTGGTATCTGTGTCTTCCTCCCTGTTCTGATATATTTTTTTTTAATGTTTTTTCCAGCGGGGAAGTGAGCGGCACGAGCCGCTGTCATATGACCAGTGAGCCTAGCCTGCCCGTCAGCGCCCCTATCGGTGAAGAGAGGAACTACACCCACTCGGAGAAGTTCAGAGTAGAAAAATATGCTGGTGAAGATTCTCAGTCATCCAGGACATGATGAATTCAAAAAGCGTTCAATACAAAAACAACTGGACTTTATTTGTAACAGAAGACGTTTCGCTCCTCATCCGAGGAGCTTTATCAATTCAAAGAGCAGTGAGTGAGGGGTTCAGGTTATAAGGCTGAGTGAGATAAGACACACGCACATAAGACACACACACATATGTAGATTGGCAGTTCACACCTAAACACCGAAACAGTAGGTCTTTGTACATCTAATTCACAGACAAGGCCCCTCTGATCCCATCAGGTGTGAAAACCGGCTGGGAATCGGTTTTAAAGTTGCATTATATGTTTTTGAAAGTGGAAATCTGAGGACTCCTCCTCTGTTAAGAGACGGCTTTTCTCTTTTTACATAAATTGCTTCCTTCAGAGAGAATTGAGAATTGAAATTGAGAGGGGGGTGAAAACATATAATGCAACTTTAAAACAGATTCCCAGCCGGTTTTCACACTTGATGGGAACAGAGGGTTCTCGTTTGTGAATTAGATGAACAAAGACCTACTGTTTAGGTGTTTAGGTGTGAACTGCCAATCTACATATGTGTGTGTGTCTTATCTCACTCAGCCTTATAACCTGAACCCCTCACTCACTGCTCTTTGAATTGAGAAAGCTCCTTGGATGAGGAGCGAAACGTCTTCTGTTACAAATAAAGTCCAGTTGTTTTTGTATTGAACGCTTTTTGAGTAGAAAAATATTTTAGTGAATTGACAGAAGTTCATGCCTCTTTGATTTCAGTTACTCTGAATGCACTTTTAAGGTATTATCTGTGATCACAACCTAAAGGATTTGGCCCCAGGCAGTATTCTGTACCAACAAGATATTAAGGAAGTTAAATACATCTTAATTCTCTGTACAGCAAACATTTAGTTATTTCTAAGGTTTTAAGAGAAAAGGCAGCACAACTGCAAAAATAGTTGTTTGGACATTTATTTGCTACATATATACAAAACTAATTATCTTTTTGATTCAGATTAGATACAAAATTATTTTACTATAAATTCAGACACAGTTTCTTGCTTATTTATTCTGAAAAAAAAAATGCATTGTAACGTCTGTAAGAGCATTTGTCATCTACCAAAACAAAATCTAGAAAATGTAAAGTTTGTTTTAACTGGAAGTCTTACTTTTTAGTTATATCTTAACAAATCTAACAAAACAAAAAAATCAATAATAAAATAAAAAATCAAAGTTAATACACTCATGACTCTATGCATCATGTAACCTCCAATGTTTTGCTCTCATTTTCATCTGTTTGTTATCACAAATATTGATTAAAATTTTATTTTCTGTCTCTAATGGGTCATTGTAACGCAAAAAATAAATACATTAATAAAAATAACCGAATTATTAAAAATAAACAAGCAAACCATTTCTCTTTTAATTCCAGTCTTCAAGAAAGAAAGCTTCTCTTTAACATAAATAGATCCTTATATTCATTTAAAAAATGAAATTATTTATTGACCTTTATTTAACCAGTTCAAACCCATTTGCGATCACAGATCTCTTTTGCCAGGGAGGCCTGGGCTTGAAGGCTTAGCCTGCATGTTTTTGGACTGTGGGAGGACTCCAGAGTCCCCAGGGAAAGTCCACACAAACTCCACACAGAAAGACCCCTCGGTCCAACCGGGGGGACTGAACCTAGGACCTTATTGCTGTGAGTGAGCAGCGCTAACCACTAAGCCATAATGCTGTCAGGATGTAAGTTGAAACAAAGAACTATCAAAATACAATAAATTACTGTACTTCAGTTAAAAAAAACAGCTTATCTGATTGTTTTTACAAGAATTAAAGAACAAACATATTACCAATTTCCCTCATTGTTTCTCGTGAAAACACAATCAAAAAAATTATGTGCAGATCACACATGCCACAGGAGAGCTCGGGATCTGAACACACAAATTAATAAAGTTCTAATAGGACTGATTAAAAAAAATTGTCCTTAAACAAACAGCTTACTCAACAATGAAGCAACAAGGACTGAAACACTGGTCCTTAAAACTCTTCTCTTTAATGTAAAAACATGTCTTCGTTCAGGAAAAATGCATCTTATTCACACTCAAGACCCTTTGAGGGGATTTTTGAGAAGGTGTAGTGAACACGCCCATTCTTTAATATCCTTAAAAAAAAGTTACTTAGCCTTATTTGACATATTCCAAAAGGTTTACTGACTCAGGCAGAGATGCTGAAGAGCATGTCAGCAGTGGAAATAGGTGCTGGTCTTTTCCTCTCCTCATTCTGGGTGTAGCTCATCAACCTGGTCACATCATCTCTTTATGAAAGAGTGGAGACTTGATCCAGATCCAGATGGAGAAAACTATTCATGTTCTTGGCTTCATCCTGGACAATGAGGTGGAGTCCGCTCTCCTCCTTCGACAGGTGGAAATCGCTGGTTTTATTGACGACAGCTTGGATGGGTTTTTTCTCTGTAACAAAGACAGTTAATATTTTAACTCGTTAAATTCTCATCGTTGCATCCTCACACGTTTCTTGTTACTGCAGTGACGAGATGCCGAAACCTTGTGTGCTCGCTTACTTCAGTGAGAAGAAAGTGGCAATTTGAATGTGGATTTACTTATTAAACCAATCATTTTAATAACATATATTATGATATATCATAATACTTCATGGACCAGTGGGCATGTTTTAATGAAACTGTCCATAAGGTGATCACTGAATGAACATGGACAACTTCTGGAGTCAACCTGATTTAAGAGAATTAGCACAACTAATCACACAAAACAGCCTTAATGCAGTCATTCGTACATATTGAGCTAAAATCTGGTGTGGTAGTAGCTGAGAGTCATTCCATCATATGCTCAGGGTGCTAATAAAATGCATGGAGTTTTTGCCTAAACTTTGGCGTGCAAGGCAGCAGGCGAGGTGCATTCCTTCAAATGATCTCCATTTTCTGAATGCACTTGTTGTAAACACTGGGGCCGCCATCAGACCTGAAAGTTTTGATCTGTTTGCAAGTCACACAAAATCTACCAGACAGAGTATGAGGCTGTTTATTGTACAGAGGAGGGAGTTTAGATTTTATCCACTGTGAACTACTGACCAAACGTCAGAGAGACAATCTGCCCACTCTGCAATGCAATCCACCATGGAGTGACTCACAGAAAGCAGTTCTGTCCAGCACCCTGTAACTTTTAGTTACCCTGTGACCTCATGCGCTTTTCATTCACATTTCTATACCTCATAAAATGCTGCTTTCAAGCAGTATTAAGTACATTATTTTATGTTCACAGATCAGGAACTGATCAAATAAATTGTAAAGTAGAGAAAATATACAGATTAATATTTGCAAATAATCTGTCATTTCTGACTGCATTGCTCTGTTGATGTTTTAATCACATCTTAATTGATTAATCAAATGTCCAGATTTTCATAAATGAATACCACGTGTGCTGCCCAAATATGTTCATGTCTTTTTTTTTTTTTTAGGTGCTTACTTGCAGCATGCTTCTTGATGATCTTTGAGCAGATAATGGACACCAAAATGAAGAGGGTGAGGGAGAACAACACAAATCCGATGCAGAGGATTATTTCAGTGAACTCTCCTTTGTCTTTTTCTGGAGAAAAATCAGATACGGATTAAGTCTGCTTGTAGTTGGGTTCAGAATAATGAAAGTGGAACTAAACATGTTCAGCAAATTATCAAACAAATCATCAACATCTAGCCGCTGCAGATAGAACAGGTTTTCATGGTAACATACCAGGTTTAAAACAAACTGAGTCATGAGTTGTGTTCCCTGGAAACTGTTCAACAAATCCATGTGTGTTGCATCTGTTCACCAGAAGAAGAGAAATGTTATAATATAGACACTTGGTTCAGTAAAGTGTGGCCATTCACTTTGACTAAACTCTCAAAGGAAAAAGAAACAATGCTTTCTTTGCCATAATATGCAAAAATAATTCATTTACTCATCATTTGCTATTAATATGCTAATATATTTTCACCAACAATTTTAATAAACCTCACCTGGCACTGCTCTGCCCCATCTTCACTAATATGCATTGAAAAGATCTATTTTTAAAGAGCACATCAATGTGCAAAAGTCCTTAACCACTCCTAATTATTTAATGCCTTTTTGCCATCAGCAATAGACGTTTTTTTAATTTTTGCCTCTTTGTGTGTGTCTGTGTGTGTGTGTGTGTGTGTGGGGGGGGGGGGTGTCCATTTGTCTGTCCTGAAAAGAATTCAATGAAATTTTAATAAAACTTGGAAAATGGCTGCACATAAATGACTGATTACTTTTTGAAGTGAACCCCATTTAAGATGGCCACCCAAACTAAGTGAGTTTTAAAAGTGGCCGTGCCCAGCTAATTTTACTAAATGTTCTTCTGAAAATAACCCTGCACTGAAAATGGATGGAAAAAAACAATGAATAAATAAATGAATAAATTACTGTTGTAAGAGTTTTATAAAGCCAGCTAATGTTATCAAGACAAGAAATAAGGAGAACTTAAAGATTCTTGCACAGTTCTGCACTCTGGGAGCATATGGAAACACTCAGACTGGGCTAGCCAGCTTTGTGTTTAAGCTCAGCTCCTTGATAAAAGTTCTAGCTGATGTTTGCTTGTGTGGGTTTTCTGGTGTTCTGATATTGCAGAATGCAACAAAGAGAGAAAATATTTTCTTTCTGATGAATACAGTTTCTGACTAACTTCTCATCAGGGTTGTCTTTTCCAAAGACTATAAATAACATTTCATGAAGAAGGCACAGGCTAGCTAACTAACACTTACTGTGACGACAGGTGGGGATATTCAAAACAAAAACACCAGCTACTGAATTATTGGCTGATTTGATCATGGATTACAAATAAAGACTAAACATCATCATACGGCCACATGAACACGGTTAACCAGCAGAGATATAATAGGGAGCATGCTTATTTAAAAAGATCTTATATTTTTTAATGGTCTTACTGTGTCCTTTGCTTGCAGGTGTCCTGTTGCAAATCAAAGTATTGGTTTCCGGTACATTTAGGCTCGCAATGATAGGAATACTCCACCAGCTGTGGATCTGAGGAAACATCTGCATAGACAGATAGATCGATTAATGGGTAGGTAGGTAGGTAGGTAGGTAGGTAGGTAGTAGACAGACAGACAGACAGACAGACAGACAGACAGACAGACAGACAGACAGACAGACAGACAGATAGACAGACAGATAGATAGATAGACAGATAGATAGATAGATAGATAGATAGATAGATAGATAGATAGATAGA